CGAGCCGGGGTGCGAGGGCAGCCTCTGCCCAAACATCTGCCCACCCTGCTCCAGCGAGCGCCCACAGGATGTCACCACAGCCAGTCTGGCCTAGACCGGACAAACGCCCGGTTTTAAGGACTTTACTCGGCGCAGCTGAAGCCCCTTTCTTTTTCAGGCGTGCAATAAGCAAGAAGGATCATCGGAGACTGATTTATCAACAACACCACAGATGCCCAGAAGATTTAGAGCCTTTAACGTCACGTCTGCTCTCTAGAAATCATGTGCAGTGTAACTGAAAGTCAATGTAAATATTTTATAGCCACTGCAACCTACAGATTTAATCTGATCAGTCTTTGAATAAATCACAGTTTGAACAGTTTGAAGGAGACCAATGAAGTTCCAAATCAAATGTATTTACAAATTTGATTTCAAAGGAACATCAGCTGGGCAAGTATGACTTTAAAAAAACCCCAAGAATCCCAAGAGAGATGCTGCCGATGCGGGGAGGGGCCATCTGCCCAGCTCCTCTTTCCACCCCACAGACGGCTCCAGCGCCGCGTTAAAGGAGCTGCTTGTGACCCAAACAAGCTCCCACCACTTCTCTGCTGGAGGAAAATCTGGCCACCAGCTGCATTTGCCGACCCTTTTCCCCAGGGCTGAGGCTCCGCTCCACAGCCCGCACCACGGCTACTGGCTCCCACTCAGCGGTGGCCAGAGCAGGGGACACAGCAGCTGCCAGCCCGGAGGCAGCGTCCTACACCCAGCACCCACGTTTGCTTGGGGTTATTGTCCCCTCACTGAGTCCAGTGGTACTAACACCCGAACTCCCAAAAGTACAGTGGAAAAAACACCCAAAGAGCTGCTATAAGGCATCTCGCTACAGATCAGAAACGGCATTGCCCACAGCAGGACCCGGCTCTGGGTCCTTTCGTCACCAGCAGGAAATCTGATGACACATCAGGGTTTTTTTAATAAGAAAAGCAGGAGCAACGTGGGAAAATAAAGATCTGAGGCAGTCAGTAGAGAGCAGCTGAACGCCACAACTTGACTTCACTGTAATCATACAGGTTTGCTCACCCGGGGCCAGGTGGTGTTGTGAGGTTTCTTTTAGCATCTGCATCGTTTCTGCCGTGGACGCGTGTGTGTGAGCGGATGTCAAGGCTAGAGGTGTCTGGTTTATAGCACAGGGGCAAGAGGAAATCGTTGCTGATACAGCAGAAGCACAAAATGTTAAACTGCAGATCAACTATCAAACATGAGACACCTCAGAGAATAAACCCAAGAGCTGATGCAGCACCGAGGCAAGTCAGCGAGGAAGAGATGCCTGTGGTGTGAAGACACCGGGCACAGCTCCCGATGCCGGGTACAGCTCCCGGTGCCGGGCACAGCTCGGGATGCCGGGTACAGCTCCTGACTCCAGGCACAGCTCGGGATGCTGGGCACAG